ATTTAGATTCTAGTTTGCGTGATCATTTTGAAAAATCTACTGTTTTTTAAAGGAACTTCCAAAACAATTCAAAATGATTTATTGGATTCTATTCTGTCAGTATGTCGAAATAAAATAGTAAATGAAATTGAACAGTCAGAATTTATTTCCATAATTGTTGATGAAACTACTGATATTTCAAATATCTTTCAGTTGGTTCTTATTATTAGATATGAAGTGCAAGGTCGACCTGTTGAGCGGTTTTGGGGTTTTGAGAATCCAAATGGACATAATGCCGAAGCATTATCACAAACTATTTTTGGTTTAATTGATCCACTTCTGGAAAAATCGCCTAATAAATTGATTGCTCAGTCATACGATGGTGCAGCGGTTATGAGTGTCCAAAAAGGTGGTGTTAATGTGAAGATAAAAGAAAAGTATCCATTCGCCTTTTTTATTCACTGTTATGCTCACCAATTGAATCTAATAACCATACAATCAATTTCAAAAAATAAGCAAGTTCGTGTATTTTTTTCTAATTTATCTGAACTACCAGTGTTTTTTTCTCATTCGCCACAGATTGTATCAGTGTTAGATGAAGTAGTCGGTGTTCGTTTGCCAAGAGCAGTACAGACTCGATGGAACTTTAATATAAGAACCGTTAATACTGTTTTTGAACACAGGGAAGACTTGATTATTTGTATGGATAAAATAATTGAAACATCTTTAGTATCTTTACAAGCTAAAACAATTAATCAAGCCACTGGTATTAAAAGGCTCCTAGAAGATACTGATTTTATTTTTTGGCTGAATATTTTTCATAAAATTATGCCACATGTTGACTGTTTGTATAGTTCTGTCCAAGCTAGAAAAACAGACCCTGTTCAAGTAAATAACTCGGTAAATTTATTTATAAATGAAATAAATAAAATACGTGATAATATGTCATAAATTTGTTCAACCGTTTTAAACCAATCAGACATAATACATTCAAATAAAAGAAAAACTAGCGAAGACCCAAATATTACAAAAAGAATTATTGCTTTAGAAGTATGTGATATTTTAATAACTCAAGCAAAAAGTCGTTTTAGTTTTAACGAACATCTAACTACAGCGTTGCTCTTTCAAAATGAGTATTACCCAAAATTTAATAACAAATTTCCAATTGATCATTTACAAAAAACTATAAATTGCTATCCTTTCTTTACAAAAGAACGTTTAAGAATTGAACTTGAGGTTATTTATAGCCGTGATGATTTTCGCTTGCTAAAAGGAATTATTCCTACAATTAACATATATATATATATATATTATTATTTGATATTATATGTTAATATATATATATATATATATATATATATACAGATAATATCAAATAATATGAACGATTTATTTAAGGAAGTACTTAAATTACTTAAACTATTAGTCGTCATTCCGATGACATCGTCGGAAGCTGAACGCGGATTTTCGACGTTAAAAAGAATTAAAACTTGTTTGCGAAGTACCATGGGAGAAGACAGACTTAACGCTTTATCTATTCTTAGTATTGAAAGTGAAATGATTTCAGAAGATATGGAATTCAATAAAAAGGTCATCGAACATTTTTCATCAACAAAAAACAGGCGGATGGATTTTATTCATAAAATAACTCCATAAAATAATTATTTTCAAATTATGTACTAAATCATATAATGTTATAATAATAATATAATAATAATATACTATGATAATTATATGAATAAAATATTAAGCTTTAAAATAATAATAAAATAATAATATGTGTATTGTGTTTCATTTTATTATATTTAATTTGACAATTTGTTAAACCTATGATTAGTGGTATTTTATATTTTAAAGTCGTACCCCCACTATCAGCACCCACGAGCCGCCACTGTATGTAGGTACATATTATTACAAGCTTTGCAAGCTCATGTGCTGCCGATTTAGCTTTAATTAAAATATTAACAAGACTTGGCAGTGGCGTGCTAAGCTTTTTTGAAAGGGGGGAGATATTCATTTTTGACTTGTCACAGACCCTACATTTTTTTTCATGTAGATAATATACCATAACAAAAAAATCCAAAGGAGATATATAACACCCTGATCCCCCCACCATGAGCACGCCACTGAGACTTGGATGTTTTTGAACTATAATCAGAAATAGAAAGTTTCAAAATTAAATAATTTCAAGTGCTAAGGAATTATCTAACGCTTTATTAAATTTTGAAATGTACAATTTTATTACTAAACGTGAGCTTCAAAAGGCGTGTTCAAACATTGCAATAGCAATACGATTTTTTTTTATGTTTTCTTATAAGTGTTGAAACCGGTAAACGTAGTTTTAGCAGATTATAACTTGTAAAAAACTTTAAGCGTTAGACTATTATTTCAATAGAAAACCAAAAAGTCCAATCTTTAGATAACATTGACATATTATTAATTTTGCTCCGGCGGAATATTAGTTAACTACTGCCCTGTAGGTTATAAGTATTTAAAAAAAAACATTTTAACAACAAGAATTTAGAATTAATGTTTATAGTATATTATTATTTATTATAATTTTCTGGAGTTTATGAATTATGTGTGATTTCATATTTTGTGAATATCAGAATAATAGCAAATTATAATGGACGGCATAAAATAGTGTGAATAATATAAAATCAACTGAAGATAATCGATAATCTTATTTCTGAATTCTGGTTATTTCTTCGAACTACAATAATTATTATTTATATATCATTGTCTACCGATAACGACGACGCGTTGTCGTCGTCGTACCGGTTAAGGTGCGTTTACATTAAGGCCGCGAACGCGAACGAACGTGAACGAACGCGAATTCGGTACATTAAATCGGTACCAACGATCAGGTGTAAACAGTAGATCGAACGCGAACGAACGCCCATTTGAGCCATTCGTTCGCCTTCGTCGAGATTCGAATTGGTGGCGGTAAGATCAAAGAAATCGATATTTAGTTTGAACGTGATTCGGCCCGTCATAACAGATTCGCCTGCGTTTGAGTCAATTACCTGTTTTGAGTGACATTTTGAGTGAAATTTCGTGTTAATTTAATTAATTTAAATATATTTATAAATAATATAAATAAATAATTTTTTTTATCATGGATTTTTCGAATGATGAATGTATTACATTAATTAATTTATATAAGTCGCGTCCTATTTTATGGGATCCTTCCAATGCCAAATATAAATTATCCAAATTAAAAATTGATTATTGGCTAGAAATTGCGAATGAAATGGGAAAAGATGTAACTTCTATTAAAAAAAAAATGGAAAGTTTACTATCTTCATTTCGAAGAGAGAGACAACGCGAAGGAACTAGTGGCCATTCTGGAGCAGGAGCTAACGAAATTTATCATTCGAAATGGTTTGCATTTTCAGAAATGCAATTTTTAAATGATAAATTTAAGCCTCGCACTACAACTGATACGATGAACGTAAGTACCGCCAATTTTTAATTGTTAATTACGTGTACAATTTGATAAAAAAATAATTATACATAACTGTTATATTAAATACCAATTAATAATATTAAATTTTATTATTTTATTCTTAATTATTAATGAAAGTTTATTTGTTCTTTTTAACAATATGTTCGTTTAAGTCCTCATTACATTACAAATTAAAGATCAAGAATTATTGATTTACGTTTTTTAAAATTCTGATAATGAACCAAAATATGTTCATAAATGTACCATGAAACAATAAAATGTTTTAAATTTTAACGTTTTTTTTTCTTTTGTCGCAGTGTTTTTTGGTATTAGTTTCTTTGCGTATAATTTTATTACTGACGCTTATTATTTTCATGATCTTTTTATCATGTAATATCTCATACATCTCCGGAATTTTATTCCTATAACACAATAATAAATATCAAAATTGAACTTTTTAGTATTTTAATTTACTAAAAATGGGAACTCCACCAGGAGCTTAAATACAGAAAGTCTTTATACATTTTCATTAATTTCTAATTATAATGTTATAATTTTAAAACTATACATGGTACACAGTGATATATTTTTAGATATTATTACAGGGGATTTATTACCTTATTGACCATTGTTGATGTCACGTATTATTAAATGAGATAGAAATGTTGGAATGTTAACAATGCTAACTAATTAGACAGCTGCACTATTAAAATTATTGATTCACTTTAATTTCAAGATATATTAAACAAACAAATTCTATAAATGTCAAAACTCTAAAAAAAATTAATAAAACATACAAATGTGCTATTATCGAAAAAATTAATTAAATTTAAATTTAAATTATTTATTATTAATACTATTAAACTGTTTTTAGCTAAATAATAATGTTATTTTCATTTTACGTCAGAAATTAAAATCAATAACTTATGTCTATTGACTAGGCTAATTTTTCTTGCCATGATACTGCACCATTACTGGAGAAGTATTCACAAAACTCATAACGAATATCTTCTGAGACTCTTGGAGCTCTTCTTGCAACTCTTTGAATTGACTGTAGAGAACTATAATTAACTTCCCGTCTCCATGACCCATTAATAAGCTGCCCTTCAACTTCACGGTCAAACGAATCGGGTGGTGAATACACATCTTGAGAAGATTTTTCGTTTCTTAAAAAAAATTGTGCAGATATATACACGCTAATACTATACTCTCCGCTTTATCTGGTTCTAGTTGCATCGGCTTCCGGAAACCTCGAAAAACTGCCGATAAAATCCCAAAAACATTTTCAACCACTCTTCGGGCTCTCGATAATCTGTAGTTGAATGTTCTTTTAGCGGAGTCAGT